CCCAGGAGCAGGCAGTGCACAGCAACACATTACCATTGCACAGTAACTGGAGAGAGAAGGAGGGAGATCTTGTTGTCCCCATAAGAACTGATGAATGGGCAAAAGAGGCACATGTTCTTGTCAAACAAGGCTTGCTTATTCCTGATATATTCAAAAGCATGCTCAATTACAGGTTAAAAATGACAGCTGAACATGCTGCTTTCAGCTTTGTGGCCCTGTCCTAAGTCTTGCTCTGCTGGCAATGGTTTCTTATAGTTGTTCACATGCACTGTGGTGCCATGGAAGCATCACAAACACTGACATTGCACTGGCATTGAAAAAAGAGTTATGCTGATATTGCAGGCAGGGATTGCTAGTGCTGGGATTTTAATACTGGGAAACAGTCTGATTGCTTTGCAGGAACAACAGGCTTGCATGTATTCAAGAGTACTGCACAGAATAATCTTAAGGACTGAATGATGTTAAGGGTTAAGATTTCTTTTTTTGCTTTAAAAAAAAATAGCTAGGATTCTTCTTGTTTTGGTCTATTTCCTTTTGTGTTTCTTTGTATTCTTTCTATATCTATGTTAAGATCTCTGACAGCATCATTCCTCAGCACAGATTTTAATTTGTATGTTTTTAAAAAATTCAGCTTGCTGAATAACACCGTTGCAATGAATGGAGGCCTCTATAGTGTGAGCACCCCTAAGGGTGTATGTGGGTTGGCATCTCTTTTGTATGTTATGTGTTTCTGTGCACACCGCACTTCTCTGTGGGATCTCTTATGGGTGAGGGTCAGACCATCCATTGTCCACTCACCATAACCTTTCCCACCATGCACTTTTCTTTGCCTCACAGAGAACTATTCAGTTATGTGGGAATAAGTTAAGAGGCACACCCTGCTACATGAGGCTACCCACTTCCTTCCCTTGGTGACTTACAGTCATGGAGAATCAGTCCTGCCTCCACTGTTGTGTTCTGAATCTTTTTTAAAAAGTTTTATTTATGAGTTTTACATTATCTACAGTATATAGTAAATAGTGTTCTGATTCTTGATCATATAACAGCCTGACAGAATGTTGGCAAGTGGCTTCATATATGATTTTATGTTTTACTAACGATAGTACCCTGAATGTCATTATTTTATGGACTCTGGGTACAATACAGAAAAAGACAAGCATGCCTAAAACCCACTAAAACAGATACTTTCAGGAAATGCAAAAGTAGTTCAGTTTGCTGTCCAAAACTTTTATAGCCATGTTTGTGTTACCTTGAAAGCATTTGCTCCTGGATAGACTCAGGGAAAATCTATGACAATTGCTCAGAGCTGCTTGATGATTACTCAGGGAACACAAAAAACAAGCAAGCCAACCAACCAACCAACCAACCAACCAACCAACCAGAGGAACTCTGACAGTCAGCGTGTAGTGCAGGGGTGTCGAACTCATTTGTTATGAGGGCCGGATCTGACATAAATGAGACCTTTTTGTGCCAGGCCATGTGTGTCATAAAATGTAATGCCAGGTAGCGGAGATATAAACTTTATGAAGGACACAAACACAAAGGGTTTTTTTAAACTTAAAATAAAAACATGCTTAAAACATTAGCACTCTTGCAATGTTTTATTTAACAGTGTCTGATAACTGACACTTCTTGCTCTGAATTATTGCATCAAAATGTCTGTGCTGTTGCAATCTTGAGTATGCCGTTCAGGTGTGTATCTGTAAGCTACAAATCTACAATGATGCAGCAGCAGAAGAACTGGAAGAAGCAGCAGAAGACAGCCAGTTCCACTGCGGGCCTGATAGAAGCCCTCCAGGGGCCTGATATGGCCCCCAGGCTGCATGTTTGACACCCTTGGTGTAGTGCATCTTGCCTCCATTTCTGTACATCTCACACTTCCTCTCAACACAGGAGCAGGTGTCAGAGAAGATGTGTTCTTGATCTGGAAGGAACTGGAGGAAGCTAGGAACACACAGCTGCAAGTTCAGAGGATTTTGGCTGGGTGTGAAGAGTCTGAATCACCTAAAGGTATGCTTTAAAAACATACACACACACACAAAACAACTTCTGATAGCATTGTAAAAATGTCAATAACAATGAACATAGACAATCTGTGACAGTTGCATTTCGTGAATAGTTAATGTAGCCAGTTCTGAATATGTATCACATTTTGGGGATGATTTCCCACTTATTCATCTGCAAATTGAAGAAGGTTTGCGGAATACAGTTGGCTGTCTGCCTTGTAGGTAGGCATGCCACTGGACAAGTCCAAACTGTAAGGGCTGAAGTAGATGCAACAGTGTCTACAGATCCAGCCTGTGGACATCGATGCCATTTTAAAGTGATATAAAAATCCTGACTGGACTCACACTGACAGAATGAAGCGCTACTCCCCCCCCCCGCATCCCATTCCAAGTGCTGAAGTGGCTGCAGATAGGGAGCATTTTTGACACTTGAAAAGATGCAGAGGGGGGACGGCGACAAGAATGTCTCAGCTTGCCGAGCTACAGGCCTGACCAGAATCAAACCCTCACGACACTTTTAAATCCTTTTAAAATGATGTCATCACCCAGAGGATGGACATGGATGCCAACATCATACATCTAGTATGGCCCTAGAGAATGAGGCTCTGCTATGTATTATTGTTGATATCTCCCCCAAGCCTGTCGTCTGCTACGCTGAGAAGCAGGCAGGAGAGCAGCACTGGAGAGGAAGCCAGGAGCCAAGCATATTGGCCACGTGGCACAAGCATGCTTCAAACTTCTGTGGCCTATCCACTTGTTCTGCAGGTTAGTCATCCGTTGCTCAAGATCTTAATTAATGAACTTCATCTTCCGTTATCCACATAATGCAGTTAAAATATCACTGGAATTTGATATGGGTACCAGTACAAGGTCAGTTTTCTCCTGTAGTGATGGATGCATTAAGGAATGCATTTTAGCAAACTCTCCTTATTTTACGTGTGTCTTATTAATTAAAAGGTTATCTGTGTCCTCTATAATATGTGGAGGAACCAAGGCCTGACATGGCAAAATGTTGACCTGGATGTCAGAGGAAAAGCTTCGTTGTAATACTTAGTAATACAGTTCCAGATTGTGGAAATCCCAGTTTGGGCACTACTGTTTGAAAACTCTCACCTATACTATTTAGAATGGAGTTCCCTAAATAAAGAACTCTTATTAGCTTGAAACTTAGAAGTGGCTCCAAGTAACTTTGTAGTGGTTAAGTGCGCGGACTCTAATCTGGGAGAACCGGGTTTGATTCCCCACTCCTCCACTTGCACCTGGCTGGATGACCTTGGGCAAACTGTATCTCTGATAAGAGCTGTTCTTGAAAAAAAAGCAGTTTCTATCAGAGCTCTCTTAGCCCCACCTACCTCACAGGGTATCTGTTGTGGGGAGGGGAAGGGAAAGGAGTTTGTAAGCCACTCTGAGACACCTTTGGGTAGTGAAGGGCGGGGTATAAATCCAATCTCCTCCTCCTCCTCCTCCTCCTCCACAGTACCAGGATGCTGCTGCTGCATGTAAGCCTAATGCACCTGCTACCAACAGAGATTCATGGTCATTCCATACCAGTTAATCCAGGGCTCTTTTTGCAGAAAAAGCCCAGCAGGAACTCATTAGCATAATAGGCCACACCCAACAGCAGAAACTCATTCGCATATTGGGCCACACCCCTGACAGCACAGCTCATTAGCACATTAGGCCGCACCCACATGTTGCCAGAAGTCTGGTCATCCAGCCACACCCACCTTTTGCTTGTTGTTCTGTTTACCTTGTTTGTTATCAAAACCCAGGGCCTTTTTTTGTAGCAGGAACTCCTTTGCATGTTAGGCCACACATCCCTAATGTAGCCAATCCTAATAAGTTTCTGCTGTTGGGTGTGGCCTATTATGCTAATGAGTTCCTGATGGGCGTGGCCAACTTGGGAGCCAGCCGGAACTCCATTCCTGTGTTTTCCTGCCCAAAAATAGCGCTGAGTTAATCTATCAAGAGGAAGGATGGGATGGGCAGGGAACATAACAAGCCTGTTGGAATCAGTCTTGATCAAGAGTTTGGGTTTGTTTGTTTTTTTGATGGCAGAAAGTCATCTGAAAGAAACCCAGTGTCGGGTTCTGGGTTTGCAGGGTGCCAGCTGGGTGTAGCAGAGTCCTCCAGGGTGCGACTTTTATGTTAGGGAGCTTTGCAGTGGCCTCAGATGATGCAGGAGGAGGAGGGTAGGCAGACACTTGAGTCCCTCTCTCCTGCTCGCTGGTTCCCCGTTGCTCTCTCTAGACCTCTGGGTCTCTCCTGCACTCTTCCTACCTGGCCAGCCTTGAGCTCCCTGCTTAAGGCTTCCCCTTTAGGGTGAGGACCCACCGAGCCATCCAGTCCCTCTCCTCCCCCATAAGGATCTGGCTGACAGCCAACCCTTGCTCCCAATGGGTTGCTCTCACTCTCTTCTTGAACCCGCCCCCTAGCCTTACCCTCCGTGACATAAGAATGACACACTTGTTTCCAATGTCCCTTCACCACCCAAACTCCCGTCCACTGTTTCTCTGTCGTTGCGGTCGGCCTCTCCTCCCCCTGGGGAAAGTCCCTCCCGTAATCCAACTGTGCGCCTGGGAGATGCATGCCAGTGCCTCCCCGACCTGCAAGACGCTGCTTCCTGTTTTTTCTCTTGACAACCATCTGGCTGCCTTCAGTGTTTGTGAGTGCAGGGGTGGGGCTTGGACCTTCACCCCCCTCCCGGACACCCAGGTGTGAAAAGAATCCCAGAGTCATGCTGCTGAGAGTCCCTGCTCTACTACACCCCTGCTTGTATATCTGGGAAACAGAGGAAACTAGGCAGTACCTGCTCCAAGATCCAGCACTTTACATCACTCTCCTGGTGCCCCATAGGGCCAGGGTGGTGTAGTGGCTAGAGTGTTGGACTAGGATCTGGGTGATCCAGGTCCAAATCCCCAAGGTTCCATGCAAGCTTGCTGGGTGACCTTGGGCCAGTCATTCACACACAGCCTAGCCCACCTCACAGGATTGTTGTGAAGATAAAATGAGGGAAAGAATGACATAAGCCGCTTTGAGTCTTCATTGGGGTGAAAGGCATGATAGAAATCAATAATAACCGGGTCACTGGGGATGATATATTTATATTAAACTCGAAATCATTGAATGCTCATTCAGTCATGTTTTTTACCCCAGTGATCAAAACTGACTATTCAGCATGTGATGTCCAGGATACAGCGAGTTCCAAGTGGTGGCTTCAGAAGAATGGTTTGAAGGCCCAGAACCTGATGATGACAAAAGCATTTGGTAGTTACACTTTTCGTCATGCAGACGGGGTTGTTGACATAAAAACCAAGCCAGAGGATGAATATTTGCAAACTGATGCCGTAAGTAGCTTACTTTTTGCGGGGCGGGGGGGATCTATCCGACTTTTCGGTTGACTTCATGTTATTATTAATGTGCTGGTTGTATAGTAGGAGATTTTATGTGTTATTTTGACAGTCACCGTTTTGATATCATTACAGAAGCTCTCAGTTTGCCTGAAAATTGTTCAGCTGTTTTTTGACTCGCTCAGCAAGACATTTTTTAATGTGTATGTGCATCAGAGTATGAGGTGATGTGTGGCCCGCCATCTTGAAATCTTTCAAGTCTAGGCAGGGACTTGGCTTAGCCAAGATACTTTCACTTTGGTACTAATATATCCTGTGTGAAATAGAATTTCGAGGACACATCTTTCAGATTATGAGTCCAGTGGCACCTTTAAGACCAACAAAGTTTAATTCTGGGTATAAGCCTTCGTGTACATGCACACTTTGAAATGTGCATGCACACAAAAGTTTATACCCAGAATTAAACTTTGTTGGTCTTAAAGATACCACTGGATTCATACTTTCTTCTGTTGCTTCAGACCAACACGGCTACCCAGCTGAATCTATCTTTCAAGGTGGGAGAACTTGTTTCTCCTATGTTGAAAAACGTTTTGTAAAAATCCGTTGGGTAGGGCATCTAAACTAACACTCCCGTTCAAGCACAGGTTTGAGAGTCACTTTTTGCTGTTCTGGCACTTTTATTTGACAATGGCACTACTGTTGCCATGTGGTGCTCATGCAGAAGAATATCCAAGATTATAACATTTATTTTCGAGATGGCAGTGCTTTGGTTTTGATATAGGCACCTTCATCCTGATTATTTATTGCTATTATTTATTAGTTGCAACATTTATACCCTGTCTTGCAGTCTTATGGAATTCCATGATGGTTCATAGATACAGTTATAAAATGGTAGAACAGTTCCTCAGGAAAGTTGTGCCATGTGTAAACTTGGCAAGAAAAAATACTAAAGAGCACCATGCTGTATGACTGTAATGGGCAGGACATGTCAGCCAATAAAGAAATTCCTTAGGGCTTGAGGTTAATTTGTTATTAATTAACCAAAGTCTAAGCCTTTAAGAATTTAAAATGATTATATGGGAGAGTGCCAGAACGTCCGACGGGGTATTTTGTTTATTGTCTGGAAATGGAAATTTACCTCTTGAAAATTCATTTGATTCTCTTCCAATCTGCGTTCTTCTAAGGAAGATACTTTTTGAAATAGGACACTATACCAGATACCATTCTGCCTGTCCTTTTGAGGGATTTAGGATTAGGGTTGCCAAACTCCAAGTGGTGGCTGGACATCTCCTGGGATTACAGCAACAGAGATCAGTTCACCTGGAGGAAATGGCCGCTTTGGAAGGTGGACTCCATGGCATTATACCCCATTGAAGTCCCTCCTATCACCAAACTCTGCCCTCCTCAGCCTCCATCCCTTAAATCGCCAGGTATTTTCCAACCCGGAGCGGGCAGCCCACTTCTGTACTGCCATTTTTGTTAGTTGTTTGTCTGTGTTGCTTCAGGGTTCTAGTAGTCCCAGAGGGAGCAAAACACATGTGGAGCCCCCCCCCCCAAAGCAATAGGGACAAATGAGTGACAAAAATGACAGTGCGGAAGTTGTGCTAATTTAGGATGGATTTTCTGTGGAGGTGCATTTAGCGCATGTTAATACTCATGTGTACTTCTTTAGACACTCTTTTTGCATATGTTTTTGTATATGTCTTTAATACATGTGAATTTAAGTCTGTCCCAATAATCATTATTCTGATTTTACAAAATTGTCCTAAGGAATTTCTTTAGACTGACGTGTCTTGTTCCTTACAGTCACACAGTGTGGTGCTCGTTGGTATTTTTTCTTTCTGTTTGTACATGTTATGATCCCTTTTGGTTTTGTTTGTGTGTAAAATCAACACCACAAGTTTTTGCTCCTGTAGGAGACTAACAAGAAAACAATCCATGCAAAATACTGTGACAAGTTTATACACATGTACTTGGGAGATGGGACTATAGCCCATGTACATCTTGATGCTGAAAAGTATTTGCAATATGAAGACAGAATGAGGAACGCTCTCAGTCAAATGGAAAGCAGGTTAGCTTACTTTCTGCTGAATGAAATCTTTTCTAAACTAATTTCTTCTTATCTGTTTATTTAAAATATTGCTGTTCTACCCTTCCATCCTAGTATGGACCATCTGAGCAATACATATCTATTATGCCATAGAGACACTGCAAAAAGAAGTTGTATACAAACAACAGCTAGATAAAAATATGAAGGAATAAAAAGAGAACCAGCAGTCCCAGATATAATAAAAGCCATTACTAATGCCAGTACAGGCAAAATTATCCAGCAGCATAAGTGGTGCTTACAAATTAAAGGGCCAACAGAAAAGGGATCAGTATATGGTGAAATGGATGGGGCCAGGTAGATTTCACTTTGGGGGGCATCAGAGGGATCTGGTGCTGCTAAAAAGAAGGTCCTCTTTCTTGCAATTACTCACCATACTTTATACTGTTAGCCCAGACGTTCATATTGGGCTATTTCTGAACTATAATATATGGAATAAAACTGAATGCAAAGGGCTAATAAAAGAGACTGTGAAATAAAGAGTTCAACTTGAGGGCACCCAGAGATGCTGCCAGCTGAGGTCGATAATCCACTGAGTCAACATCTTCCAGAAGGGGCCCCAGAGTCTTCAGCTCATCATGTATGTGCAAACAGAGAGCCCACAGCAAACACAGAGAACTCATTAGTTAGTGTCACGGCAGGACCAGGGGGCGTGACACAAGCAAGCAAAAGTCCAGGAACAGTCCGAGGTCAAGCCGGGCAAATCAGGTAGCAAGGTTCAAGCAGGTTTAAATCACAGTCCAAAAGCAGGGTCAGACATACCAAAGTTTCAAGTCCATAAATCACAACAATACCAGAGGAGTCAGAGATGAACGCAGGGTCAACAAAGCCAAAGGTCAAAAGCCGAGGATCAAGCCGAGAAGAATTCCACAAGGTCTGGAGCAGAGATGCAAGGATTCAGGTCCTGAACAAACGACGTTGCCAGCACAAATGAGTGCTGGCAACAGACTTGCATATATACAGTGCTAGCTAATCAACTCATTAGCTAGCCAGTAGTGAGGACAGGATCCTGTCAGTAATCAGGGCTAAGAGATCTTCTGGCACGCATGCGTGCATTCTGCCTTCGCTCTCTCAGCTGTTGTCTTCTTACATTCCTGAGCCTGGTTACAGGTGGAGGCGAGTCTGATGATGAATTACTGGGCTGCAGCAGAGACTGATCCCTTGCAGGTGTTCCCTGGGAGGCTCTATCCTCCTCACCACTTAGATAGCTTTCAGCTACAGGATCCAGTCTTTGCCTTTCTGCTGCAGTACTGTCCTCAGGAGCCTGTTCAGGGTCCTCAGGAGCCTGTTCAGGGGCATCAGCAAAGGCAGGCATGACATCAGCAGGGGCAGGCATGACAGTTAGCCCAGACCGCATGTCTCCACATAAGAGGTTTAAGTTCAGAGTTCCCCCACTGCAATAGGATTTTCATTCCACATGGCTACAGATGATTCAGCACTACTGGCCTCCTTGCACGTACCTCCTGCCCCCCGCCCAGGTACCACCTCTCAGGTTAATCAATAGATTGAAAATTGACCTCATAGCCAATCACTGACCCTTGGGGTAGGGCCACCTGGTAATCTGATTGGGCCCACCCCCTCCCCGCTCGCAAGAGACCTTAAAAGATAGAACACAGAGCGGCCACGCCATCTTCCCTTTTACCAACGACCCCTCTACGTCTGCTATTCCTCTCTTATCCAGCTTCCTGTACCAATCCCTTGACTCGCTTTACCTTAGTCTGCAGCTAAGGCAATACACGTGTTCTCAGCTGGTTTGTTACATGTGCTTCTACCATTTTCTTCCCTCCCTACCCTCCTTCCCGCTGGAAGATTTAGGAGCCGTGCTACGCCTGAGGTAAATATCGCCCCTCAATGATACACCTGCTAATGCAACCGTGCTTTAGCAAATCTATCTGTTTTTACTTAGTTCTTGTGTGTGTGAATGTTATTATGCACTTTGAATTATATCTAGTAAACCAAAGTATATTTTACTTCTGTCTCTGTCTCTTCATTGAAACGTATTGGCGCAGCCCATCCTCCATAGACACAGACCAGAATCCCTATTAATACACTGTTCCAATTGTCTCTCCTAAAGAGCAATTCGGCTAACAATAAAATGGGGGCATGTGGGGGAAGGGCCTTTGAAAAAGAGAAAAATATCAAATGTAAAACTGCCTGATTGGGGTGGCATTTAAATACCCACATAGCAGAATAAAGTAGTATTAGGCAGGGCTTTTTTGTAGAAAAAGTCCAGCAGGAACTCATTAGCATAATAGGACACACCCAGCAGCGGAAACTCATTAGCATATTAGGCCACACCCCTGACTGCACTACTCATTAGCATATTAAGCCACACCCCATGTTACCAGAAGTGTGGTCATCCAGCCACACCCACCCTTTGCTTGTTATTCTGTTTACCTTGTTTGTTGTCAAAACCTAGGGTTTTTTTGTAGCAGGAACTCCTTTGCATGTTAGGCCACACACTCCTAATGTAGCCAATCCTAATGGGTTTCTGCTGTTGGGTGTGGCCTGTTATGCTAATGAGCTCCTGCTGGGCATGTCCAACTTGGGAGCCAGTCGGAACTCCGTTCCTGTGCGTTCCTGCCCAAAAATAGCCCTGGTAGGTATTCTAATTTTTAACATAAGTAACAACATCAAAAAAATCAGTGTCGTGGCATTCTGCAGAATGCCTAAACTCATGCCACAACAAACATATACAGATGTATAGCACTTCAAGCAGGGTGTTCTACTTGAGAACAGATATATTCTAAACCAGAGATAAACTATCTAATTTTATTATATGACTTCCAAATGTGCCACTTAGCTCCTCTATGCCTTTATGGTTATAACTGTAGAGAAATGTATATTTTTCATCCTAACACGTTCTACTTCATATACTAATGTGTTCTCTTATAGTATAAAGACCAGCTGTTCAGTGGCTTTTGACCCCACCTTAAACAGTGGGGTTTTTTTGTATATATGTTTTAATTGAAGGGTTTCATTTCAAGGGCCTTGGGGCCAGTCCCCAGTTATAATAAATTGGGGAGGGGTTGGAGGTATTGGCAAACTGTGTGGCAGAAAACTGCAGTGTAAAAACACGATAACTAATTTATGTTGGGGTGTTAGCTGTTCAAGTATTATTTCTTTTAAATGAGACCTGCAGGAGGTCTCTTGTTAGAAGGGGAAAATGCATGAGAAAGTTATCGGGGTATGTGAAAACTTAGAGGAATTAACAAGAGAAGGTTATTTTTATGCCCCTACAAAACCACACATGCACAATTGTACCCATGAACTATGATTACCATTGAATATATTTACATATTTGCTTGTATTAAATACACCTCTTTTAAAAAATAAATCTGTCTTAACAGGATATATTTGATCCCAATCATGGATTGGTGAGAAGTTTTTTTTTCAGAGGTAGGAAAATTGCATTTCACGCAATCCTTCATGCCTTTCATTTCACTGAGATATTTTTATATAGACTTCAGGAGCTGCTAAAAGGGAGCAGAGCACTCTTTGGGGATGTAGTTGAAGATCACATTTATATTCTCATTGATACGTCTCACTCGATGAAAAATAAACTGCCACTTGTGAAGGAGAAAATATTTCAGCTTATCCGGGTGAGTGACAATTACTATTTTAGACACTAGGGTTGTGAAACATAGGTAATGCTTACGTTTTCCTGATAAAGCACTGGTGATTTCTCCAGATTTAGGATTGGTTTATGATAGTTTATTAGATGAATCCTCTATTTCCAACAGGTTGTGAAGCAAAATTAGAAATAAAGAATTTTTAATCTAACTTCGAATATTTGATTTTCAAGTATAACCAAGTTTTGATGTGTGTTTATATGAAGGAGAATTCAGCAGACTGTTTCTTGCAGGAACAACTACAAAATAAAACTCAGTTTAACCTTGTTAAATTTGATGCTGAAGCAATCGCTTGGAAAGAGAAACTTGCTGACATTAATGAGCATAATTTGGAGGATGCTTTGCTTTGGGTAAAAGGGCTACAGGTAAATACAAAAATTACTTCAAGAAAATGTAAATAAGCTAATTTATTTAAGTACCCTGTGTTTATACACATTGATTTGGCTACCTGTATGCATTTATTTCTAGAACAATGAGAATCAAGCCGTAGCCCTTTCCTATGTGGCAGTTCTTGATGTATTTGAAGAGTGCTATTATGTTCCGCCCTTTTCTAAATATGCCCAGTTCCTGCAGTCTTTCCTCCTAGGATGTTGAATGTGAAAACACCCCGATTAGAAATGTGGCCATTTCTTTTTTTTTAATTAATACTTCTATTCTAGTTTTTTTCACCATATATAACCTTGTACATAATTAAATACATTACATATCGTTGGAGTCTTTTAACAAAATTTTTGTTTCTTTTAAGTATATGTATACTCTTGACCATGGTTTTTGGAATTCATTTTCATCTTTACCATGTAATAACATTGTTAATTTTTCCATTTCTGCAATGTCTCACAATGTATATACTACCTCTTCTATTAAAGGGATTCTATCTGTTTTCCAATATTTTGCCAATATAATTCTGGCTGAGGTTACCATATAAATTAGCAATAAGTACATCATTTTTTCCAATACCATTAGGCATAATATTTAACAAGAAGATCTCAGGTGATAAATTCAAATTGATTTTCAACATATTCATGATCAGTTTTTTAACCTCTTTCCAAAACTTGGCTACTTTTTCACATTTCCACGACATATGATAGAATGTCCCCACATTAGATTTACATTTCCAACAATTCTTGGATATTTTAGCTGAACATTTAGAAATTCTATCTGGGGACCAATACCATCTATAAAACATTTTAATTACATTTTCCTTATAAGATGTGGCTTTAAGAAATGATATTGATTTCCATGTCTTAGTCCATTCATCAATTTGAATATTATGCCCTATATCTTGCATCATCTTATCATTGTTTCTTTAACTGTTTCATCTATCAGATAATCTGTCAACAAGAAGTTATATATTTTTTATCATTTTGTCATTTGACGAGAAGAATTATAGACCCATCTCGTTATTGAATGCAGACTATAAAATATATACCAACATATTAGCAACAAGATTAAAGAAAATACTGCTACAAATTAAACATCAAGATCAGGCGGGATTTCTTCCATAAAGACAAATGAAGAATAACATAAGAACAGTAATTAATGTCTTGGAATATTATGAAACACACCCAGAAAAGCAGGCAGCACTGATCTTTTTAGATGCAGAAAAAGCGTTTGATAATGTGACATGGGAATTTTTGATCCAAAAACTAGAAGACTGGGACTATGGGAAGCATTTTTTATCTATGATATCAGCTATTTATAACCCCCCCCACCAAAATTATAATACAAAAAGGCATCAGACAGGGTTGTCCGCTATCACCTTTGTTATTTATATTTGTCTTAGAAACTCTGAATGATCTAATAAGATGTAACAATTTAATAAGAGGGCTAAGAGTAAAAGTTGAAGAGTTCAAACTACAAGCATTTGCAGACGATCTTGTATTTATACTGGAAGAGCCGTGGTCCTCAATCATTTGGTGGAAGAAATTTCAAGATATGGAAAAGTGGCAGGCTTAAAAATAAATTTTCAGGAGACGAAAATACTAGCCAAAAATTGTACACAAAAAAATATCGACTCAATACAGGAGAGCACAAAGATTGAAATAGTAAATAAAGTTAAATATTTAGGAATAATAATGACAAACAGAAATAGTTCGTTAATGGAAAACAACTATAAAAAATTATTGGGAGAAATTAGAAAAGACCTTTTTAAATGGAAAGACCTGCAACTATCACTAATGGGTAGGATTCCAATGATTAAAATGAATATTCTTCCTCGTTTTTTATTTTTAGCCCAAAATCTTCCAATTATGGAAAATAATAAATACTTTATAGATTTGGATAAAAATATTAGACAATATATTTGGTACCCTAAGAAGGTTCATATAAAGTGGAAATTACTTCAAGATAAGAAAGAAAAAGGAGCGTTGGGACTTCCTAATTGGAACTTGTACTATCAAGCAGCAGTTGCAACATGGATCAAAGACTGGCTAACTTTAGACAATCGAAGACTACTAAAATTAGAAGGACATGATTTATGCATGGGTCTACATGCATATATAATACAATAAAGATAAAATACATTCAATAAATACAATAAAGATAAAATACATTCTAATTTCCACCAACATATTACAAAAGGACGAGACTAAAGGGAAAAGTCTACGATAAAATACCAAGATGGGTATCCCCACTTGAAGCTTTTATTAAACCTACCCTCTTAAATGAAGAAAAAAATGTATCCTATGAGTTCTTATTGGATAAAAATAATAACCTTAAAAATACTGAAATGTTAAAAAAACCTTAACATAAATTTAACTTGGTGGGAAAACACACAACTTAATTCTAGATATACCAAAAATAAAGCAACAGGTTTTTATATGTGAAAAAATGAAATAGATGAAATGTGGCCATTTCTTAGGAAGAGCCCCTGAAGCAAGAGTTTACATTTCTCTTTGTCCTCTGTCTGTGGCTGAGCAGTTTCAGGCATCACCTTCTCTACATAGGAACAGGATGCACCAGTTCCCCAACATTTCCTGTTTCTTTGCAACAAGCTCACACCCAGATATAACCTCTGCATTTCCCCCCTACCTGGAATGCCCGTATTTTCCCATCTCCTTAGCAAGGAAGATGCAAAACCTATAATGGATGTGAGTTAGATGCAGAGGAGCAGCAAGTGTTGGGGAACATGCATAACCTGTCTCTGTGTGGCATGGTGATCTCTGAAGTGGCTTTCATTGTAATCAGATGCCCAAGAGTGTTCCGCTCAGTCCAAGCAGCCAAATAGCCTTCCATTTTGAGTTCCTCCATTGTTGTTCATATTTAATGAAGTGATACATTTCATGACATACTTTGCCTTATTTCTATTCACAAAAACACATCTAAGTAACCAAAGGTTATCTGTATCAAGGTTACACATTTCTTAAAGTAACAATTGAATCTTTAAATGCCAGTCTATCATACGTGCACTGGAACAATTGTCTAGGTTTTAATGTATGCTCCATCAAGGCAGAGTTTTATAATTAGTATAATCTGTCTCACTAGCACACAACTGTTGGAAGGTATTCCAAACATGTAACACTGCTAATGTTTTCATTTCTCTATTTTTCCTTTGACTGATTAGGTTGGAAGTTCTACAAATACACTGAAAGCACTTCAGATTGCCTTCAATGATAGTAAAACTCAAGCCATTTATCTTCTTACTGATGGGAGACCTGATCAGGTATCTATGAAAAAAGCAAACTGTGTCAGGGCACTATGATGATGTAACACTGGGTTATGACAACTCTCTGTAGGGGGGGGGGGGCGGCTAAAGTGAGGCTAGGCTGGCAGACCTAGGAAGACACCACCCTCTTCTCTACATCTTTTATCCCAGGCAACATGATTGTAGTAGTGGAGACATCAGAGGAAGCATGATCTTTCAGGCCTCAGAGTAGGTCTCCAAAAACTGTGTGTGTGTGTGTGTGTGTGTGTGTGTGTGTGAGAGAGAGAGAGAGAGAGAGAGAGAGAGAGAGAGAGAGAGAGAGAGAGATGGAACGGTATTCTTGACTGAACTATGACAACAGCAGTATATACACTGTGGGGAAAAAGTAGTGTTTGAGGGGAAGAAGGTGATGGAAAATGCCGTCAGGTCACAGCCAACTTATGGTGACCCCGTGGGGTTTTCAAGGCAAGAGATGTTTAGAGGTGGTTTGCCATTGCCTGCCTTACTGACCCTAGACTTTATTGGTGGTCTCCCATCCAAATACTAATCAAGGCCAGCCCTGCTTAGCTTCTGAATTCTGATGAGACTGGGGTACCTTGGGCCATTCAGTCAGGGTAAGGGGAGGACACTGAGGAGCAAAAATGATGAAGGTTTTAGAAAGCAGCAGCGAAAGGGAAAGGAGATGTCTTGGTGGGCTGGTAAGAGAAGACAAGGCTTGGAGGTTGGAGTCTGTTGGGGGAGGAAAGTAGCTAATGGGTCTGATGATAGAACTCATAAGTACAATGGAATTTAATGGGGGAGGAGATGGTGGTTATTGTGGCAGGAGCTGTAGCTTCCAGACTAGATGATGAATTAAACTCAGGGGTGCTGCTGAAAACAGCAGCTTTGTGTATTGGCTCCACCTCTTTAGCATCTAATTGAACCTACTCTCTGTTGTGATGTCATGACATTCTGTATTTCCCTGTTACCCATACGAGGAAGCCAGTGATATGCAGCCAGGGAAGTGAAATATAGAATGTCATGACTTCACAACATAAGGTAAGTTCCACTACTAGACAATACAGATGGGGAGAAAGGAAATGAACCATGCAGCTTCTGCTTCAGAGATCTGCACTTCAGTCTTAAGCTTAGGAAATTTACCATAGAAGCTGCAGAGTCTGCTGCCTTTCCCAAATGTCTAGATACTGGGGGATGGAGTTGAGGGCCAAGTGGGGTTCAGCTCTCCAGGATGCATTCAAAACATCCTTTGAAGGGCTGCCCTTCTTTTGGAAGAATATTACGTTTGTTGTTGAAGGCTTTCATGGCCGGAGTCTATCAGTTGTTGTAGATTTTCCTGGTTGTATAGCTGTGGTCTTGGCATTGTAGGACCTGACATTTCACCAGCAGCTGTGACTGGCATCCTCAGAGGTATAACACAGAAAGATGGAGTACTCTCTGTATCAATGTGAGAAGAAAAATGGTAGGCAGGTAATTTATATCTACTCAGGAAGGTGGAGTAGGGCTGAGTCATTATCTTGTAGGCGTTCCCCAGGCTGTGACATGCTAATGGAGGAGCTTTCCTGAGGAGGTTCTTTTGCATATGGATTGGCTGTTGAAATTCTAATCTTATCTGTAGTAGTAGATATAAATTACCTGCCCACCATTTTTCTTCTCACCTTGACACAGAGAGTACTCCGTCTTTCTGTGTTATACCTCTGAGGATGCCAGTCACAGCTGCTGGCGAAACATCAGATCCTACAATACCAAGACCACAGCCATGCAGCCTGGAAAATCCACAACAACTATTATTACGTTTATTATGCAGTTACAGATAGTGGGAAATTAATATGGGGAATGAAAATTTACTGATTTTGAGGTGTAATACAATAAACTGTAGGAATATGCAAGTTGTTTTTATCCAGATACTCTTAATGGTATACACTGGTGGTACATCATTAATTGTTGACTTACACCTGCCATTGTTGGGGTTTTTGTTCCATATGTCAATGGCAGGTCATAAATGTTGATGTTGGTATACAAAGCCTCCAACAGTATGTGGTCAGCAATGATCTCACTATGCTATTATTAGCAAAATTGCACTGCTAAAATTATCTTGGAAGATTACAGTTTATAACAGGGGCCCCCAACCTTTTCTGCCTGTGGACACCTTTGGAATTCTAACACAGGATGGGGGCATGTCTGCAAAATGGCTGCCATAGGAGATAGAGCCAACTACCAGCTATTAGGAAGTGAGGTCATGCATACACTCTAATAGGAACACTTACACTTTTCAAGCAGAAGGTGTGCTTAACAGGGTGCCTTTTAAAATTAACATAGTGTTTTGAAATACTTTCTTGCACACACACAAAAGTATAGATATTGAGCTAGTATCTGCCAGTACCAGTCTTCATTTTTCAGGAATCTGACCTGGCTATCCCCTTTAAATGAGCTGGGTAAAAACCACCACTGACCCCTCCCACTTGCTAAAACACTATTGGCGGGTGCCATGGCACCCATGGGCACCATGTTGGATACCCCTGGTTTTTGATTTAACTGAAAAGTCAACTTAATATATATATTTATAAGTTCTTTGAATTTAAAGTAGTGGGTTTAATGAACAGAATATGGCTTGGATATTTGAAGAATCTTATTTGCAGCAGTGTTTTTAGATTGGATGTCTATCTAACTTGGTAAAATGAGGAAGTTGCCTTACAATGGTCTATCCATCCCAGAATTCTGATTGGCTGCGGCTCTCAGTCTTCGCCAACCCTTCTATCTGAGGTCCTTTAAAATTAGTTTTGCCATGTATTGTGCTTAGGACCCATATTATAGATTTGTGAAACAGGTGTTCTGCTATATAGTAATAGTTCATGTTTAAATTTCAGCAAGGGCCACCTTAGTTTTTCCTGATGGTGGTTTGCTCTGCTCACTGGTATGCACTTTGTTGCACAATCAATAGTCCAGAAAACATCCTGCAAACTGAGGGGTCTTCTCCTCTCCCAGTAAGCCACCACAGATAGTCTAGGAAGTGAGCTATGCATACAGCACAATTGTTCTGATTTTATCTGCTATAAAAGGCAGCTGGGATCAGTTCATCTTGAAGCATCCCACATATCTGGGCTGTTGGATTGGAGGTGCTGATACAAAAAATTAAATCCATCTGCATAAGGCTGTCAATCTCTAAGGTGCAATTCTTGTGACATATTCCTATTGGGAGTACTGGCAGTTATGGTGGAAATCAATAAAAGCTTTAATAGTTTTTTTTCTTTATCCTTTGCTTAAGAAGATGTAGTATGAAAGCAGTTTCAAGCAGAGGTTGGGTAGCATCTGTCAAACATGAATCAAGCCATGGGTTGAACAATGACCAGTAAGGTCCCTTACAAACCTTAGGGCTCTAGGACTACCTTTGCATTTATTATTCCCCCCCCCTTTTTTGCAGCCTCCCCAAACTATTTTAGCCCAGCTTGAACTACAGCGGAAAATTCCCATTCACACAATTTCCTTCAACTGTGATGATACTGGAGCCAATAAATTTTTACATCAGTTGGCCAACGAAACGGGTGGACGGTTTCATTACTATCATATTTGTTTGATGGACTCTGATGCTCCTAAACCTTTTGAGGCAAGTCTAGAAAAGCTGAAAGTAAAATAAACAACTTTTAAAAATAAAATAAAATTAAGGTCATGTGAAAGTTTCTCATGAAACCGGTTAAGTGCACCAAATGCTGATGAGAGGGGTATGCTGTACTGAGATAACATGTTTATGGTTTCACTACTTTCATGTATTGCCTTTTATTTATGTATTTGTGTAGAGCCCATTAGTGATAGCAAAAATTAAATGTTTTTTAATAAAATAGTCCAAGGTGCTGTGAACTCTGTAGTAGAAGTAAGACCATAAAATGAAGAGTAATGTAGCAATGATTCTTTGGAATCCTATAAACTGTAGCAAAATTTAACTGCACCAGAGATCAATACTCAAAGCTGTGGAGTCTTGTGAGCAAAAATTCTGCTTTGTGAGCTACTGGCATTAAAGCTGTGAGCAAGCGATTTGGCTACTGCATAAATCAATTTGCTCTGGAGCCATCCTTCCTGAGCTAAGACAAAAATGTGTGAGCCAGAGGCTAAAAAACTGTGAGCTGGCTCACACTAACTCAGCTTAGAGGGAGCACTGCCAGAGATGTATTGTCAAGTCAGCAGGTTTTGGAAAGATAACACAATATGAATTTTCAACCATTAGTCTGCTGTGGGATACTTGTTCTTGTAAAACCTTAACTTGATTAAAATTATTCTTAAAATATAGGGAGAGCTGAAGTGTACAAATCAGAAAGGGTTAGAAGTGAAATTCAATGAATGCCATAAAAGAAATGCAAGGAATACTAGAGAGTAAATATAGAAGCAAGGGTTAATGGACAGTGTTCCAAGATATTAATTTCACATGGTCATAATATAACATTTTTTTCCACTTGGAATTATTGGGTCAATTTATTATTATGTTCAGCACTGGTTTAGTTCAGTAATAAAATATATTTCTAATGAGAGACAATAGCCCATATCTCTTTCATATCTTTTATAGTCTGAGGATATATATCTTCTTAAGAAAGAGATTGAACAAGGGGAAAAAGAACTGAAGAAAATAAAAGCATTCTACAGCACTGACGACATATTGATGGATTGGATTAATGGCGCAAAAAGTCGAGAACATAAGTATGTGCTTTTATTGCTTTGACCTCTTATATCACCCTCTTGGGCTCCTTCTTGCATGTTGAGTATTAGAATGTAAAAGTTACAAGAAGAGGTATTTTCCCTGGTAGGGAAAAAAAAATCACTGATGTTTTTCAAACAGTAAAAACTCTCTGTTGATGGAAAACAATTACAACCTATGCCTACTTCTCTGACATTTATTTGGGGTCCCTTTGGTAGAAGTACAGATTAGGAAGATATAGCATGTGTTTGAAAAATGTTACGAAGTTTTCATGATTTTTTTTGCTCCTTTCTTCTCAGGGTTGAATAATCTACCCATGTAACCTCAACATTTTCTTAGTTTTGCTCATAATGACTCTCTGCCTACGGCCGGATTTATTCCGTGTGACTGTAAGCTGCCATTTTCCTTGCTTGAAATGTGGCTTGATAATGGTATGCAGATGCCTGTTTATGGTGCATCACAGAGGACTAATATGCTGTAAGCAGAGAACCACATGTGCAAAGTGGCCATTACAAACTGGGCAGTCGGGTGTATGAGTCCACTGCTGCCTTCTCCACCTGCAGCTTTCCATTCACAAAACACCCAGTTTGCACCTGGAGAGACAAGTGGCTGTAAGCAGCTTCCTCTAGGTTATAATAAAGTTGGACTCCTTCTACTCCAAAAGGAAATATCCATGGCTGTTGACTTACCTGAGTTCTTTTTAGTAGATACATTTCTGTACTGTTTAGTTTTCCAGGAATCTTTCTTAAGCATCAATTTCACATGATCAGCTTTCCCCACCACTCCCATTCCACAAACAAAATGTATTGAAAGTGCAATATTTCAGACATCACACCTCTTGGCGCAGCTAGTGATATGTCTGTTTCTTAAACAGACATCGCAGGCAGGCTTTTACTGCATCCACAGTAAGCACCCCAGTTGAGAGACTGAATCCCCCATCTCCAGATAGGCCATATTGTGCCTCTGAAGAGCCGGCATCAGCTTCTCCACAGCCTGGTACAGATGGACGTCAGGCACGCTCTGAGAGTCCAGCCAGAAAGAAGAAAGCATTATATGCAGGTAAAACAGACTATGGAGATTACTTGTCCCATCTCTGCCATATTGAGCGCAGTCAACCAAGCACTGCTGTCACGCAATCTCATGCTGCCTTCATTTCAGCACAGCTATGGCAGGTGCAACGTTACACAGAATCCATCTTCTGTCAGCAAAATTAAAATACTCCTATTTACTTATAGCAAAGTCAAGGTAAGCTTGAGGTGTTTTGATCAAGGGGACACACTTTGGATATGTAACTATTCATCAGCTTTCTATCACATTGACTGTTTCTCGTGGTGGCTATGATGTACAGTTGGCTTCACCTCTCCATGGGGGAAAGGGACTTGTTTGAGGAGGTGACCTTTTTTTTGAAACCCCACGTTTTCTGGAAATCATGTCATTATTTTTGAACATGTAGATAAATGTCACAGTTGTTGTAATGGGAGCTGGTTATATCGCAATCAGCTATGTAAGCAGCTGAGCATGTTAGTCCTTGCCATTTTTTTCTCCATAGCAGGATAGCTGCCAAGAAGGGCTCATGTTTGATTTTCTCAAGGTTTGGCAGCTCTGTTTTGTACTTCAGTAAGCTACATCCTGGGAATGGTTTTGCCATAAAAGATGGAAATTCCTATTTGGGGTTTCAGAAGCTAAAATAGCTCGACACCTGTTTCAGAGTTCAGATTTTACACTTTATATATGCTTTGCTGTGGTTGGGTCACCCTTCAGCAACGGAACCCACATAAGTGCCATAGCAATGAAGACATGTTCCAAAAACTGTAGTGGATACTGAAGGATCAGATGTAATTGCATTGTGGGTCAGATTTGGCTCATGTCTACCACAGGGCCACTTCTGGACTGAAGAGGACGGTAGGGCAACACAATGCTTAATTTTGGCTGCGATCACACACACTAAATAATCCACTTTCAATGCACTTTCCAACTGGATTTTGCCAGTTCACACAGTAAAATCCAATTGGAAAGTACATTGAAAGTGGATTCTTTAGTGTGTGCGATCACAGCCTTTAATTTTATTTTATTTTTAACATTTTGGCTTTCTCACATTTCTGCTTCACTTTCTTCCATACCCAAGTGCGCCAGGTCCTGTTCCTACCCCAGAAGTGATGCGTTTTTTGTGCACATCTGTGACAACCTGCATTAAAAAGAGAATATGACACAGAAAGAGTTCAGCTTGAAATCCAAAAAGGACCATTGTCCATGTATTTTAAAGATATGCCAGGATTGTCTGTAGTCTGTTTTTTTAAAAATGTGCATCTAATTTTTGTGGGATTTTCTTTCTCAATAAACTTATTGACTTTCTTAAAAAAAACTGGTTTACTGTACATATTATAATCACTAGATCATGGTCTGCAGGATCATTTCAACAGTTCCAAGGCATCAGATGAGGAAACAGTAATTGCATCTCCTGCCCTGTTCCTCCAGCGGTCTGTTTGCCTTCTTCCTGTCCTGACTACTGTGAGGCAAAAATAGAGACCTGCTGATCCCAGGAAACAGGAAAGTAAAGTAAAAGTAGTGACAGGAGGTGCTGAGGGTGTTACTCTGTTTTCCTGCTCTGGAACTTTTAAAGGGAAAATCACTGTGGGGGGTTGTGTGAATTGTCAGTCCTGGTCTTCATAATTTTGAGGAAAATCTCTAACCACTTTTATTCTAGATTAGAAATACTATGTAGTATATCTAGCAGGTTTGAAGGAAGTCCATGAGGGGCAACCAAATACTCTTAAACCTGGGAGGAAATGGTTCTGATGGTGGCATTGACTTACATCTGGGTTCTGGGCTGAGGGCAAATTCCAAACCTGGCCTAATTCTGGGTCTGCCTTTAGTTTTTTCCCCCAGTTAGTCTACTAGATTTTCTGTGGGGTATTCACTTCAGTAGCTAATGTGCTTGCAGAAGGACCGTCTTGGGCTTTTTTGAAGTGTTGTGTGATTGGGAAAGGCAGAAAACAATTTATGGAGCCTGAGGACTTGTCCAGGTTAGCTCCTGCCTAAATACCTATGAGGATAAACTCTAAGGGGTTTTTCTCTGTGACTATCTTTCCACAGAGCAAACCAAGAGCAGTATGCTCAGAACTCTGCGCTATGCAACAAAGCCTATTGAACGTAGTCCAAATGGGAGGCCATCACCTGAAAGAAAAGGTAGGCTTCAGGAGTGAAGGTATTTCTTCAGTTGCAAGTGTTCTGCTTTTTTTTGCTGGTCAAACCCTTTCTTCCTTCCTATTTGGTAGACTGTTCAGCCAACATTGTCCTCCTCTGGTCTACTTTGCCTTCTCTGAAAAGTCTATCAGGCTTCAGAATAATTCAAGATGGGTAGCCATGTTAGTCTGTCTGTAGCAGTAGAAAAGAGTAAGAATCCAGTAGCGCCTTAAAGACTAACAAAGTTTGTGGTAGAGTATGAGCTTTCATGAGTCACTGCTCACTTCCTCAGATACAGCTAGATACATTCTAGCTGTATCTGAAGAAGTGAGCAGTGACTCACAAAAGCTCATACCCTACCACAAATTTTGTTAGTCATTAAGGTGCTACTGGACTCTTACTCTTTTCTAAGGCTTCAGGATGTTCAATTGTATTCTGGATTTCATTCTATAATCCCAAGGAGACAAAACATTGTCCATGCTTTAGTGAGGATTGTGGCTTCACTCTTGTGTCTTGGAGAAGCTGCACACAATTCATGCATCATTACTTAAGAGTATCAGGCCATATCTGCTCCTGCAAATCGGGAGAGGTTCAAGGTGCTCCAGTGTGCAGGAGAACTACATACATACATGTCGTGTGTTCATTGTGCAAATGCACTAAGAGGAAGGCAGGTGCAGGGTTGATGTGGGGGTCAGCATCTTTGGGCAGTTACTGAGGTCCCACTACCCCAGGAGGGCTTCTGCTGGAGAAAGGAGAGGCCATCTGCCTGCCTTCTCTCTCCCCCTCCAGGCACCAGCAAGTATTGGATCTTCCTGGAGGACCAAGAGCCCAGAGTCTCCACACCCTCCTTGTCATCATGCTAGGGGGAATGGGCGGGGTCCTGAGGGGCATGGATCTTCTTTCCTGCCTTTTGTTCAAGCAGGCATTGGCTGCTTACTCTAAACAGAGCCATAAGCAGGCCCTGAGCAGGGGCAATAGCAGACCCTGTCACTCTCTTTCCTTGCAGGTGGAAGTCCCTGGTTGCCACCTGTTTGCTCACACACCTGGAGCGGCAGCCAACAGCATTGATGCTTACCCTCTTGTTTCAAGTTTTTTTTAAATTAATTTTTTTCAAACAAAAGACCAAAAAGAAAAAAAAAACACTGCTCAAGACAAACAAAAAAAGAAAGAAGGACCTTCTAAATGACAAAACATAGAAACATAGAATCAAAATTACAGGGGAAACCCACACAAAATACAAAGGGAAGATGCTGTTGACTCAAATTATTGACAGAGGGCTTACTATTTAACACATTTTTCAATTTATCTTTCAAGATGAAGTTAATAATGGCACAGGGGATTTTTAAAAGGATAATTCTTTGTATACTTTATACTTCCTTTTCCATAATTTGAGGTAGGGCTTGGACAGATGTTGAATACCTTTCTGATTCGTATATGAAATGAAATCATGCCACGTTTTATAAAAATCTGACATTTTAGCTTTACCTTTGGCTACTCTAAGTTGATATGCCAGTTTTTCTGCCATAGATATTTGCCATATCTCAGAATACCAATAATGTAATCTTAAAAATTCTGCAGATTTCCAACACTTTGCTATTAACCTACGGGCTGCCATCAATATAAACACTAGTAATCCCTTGGATGTCACTTTTCCATTTTGTTCCCCCCAGACTGTTAACAAAGCCAGTGCTGATGTGGCATCAATGATTTGATGCGTAATATTTTCCGTTTTGGTAAATATTTTTCTCAGAACTTTGACACTATAGAGCATGACCACCACATGTGGACATAACCACCTTGCTGGTTGCAATTTCTCCAACATTTTGTGTTGCTTGTATTACTTATTCTTGTAAGACATACCAGATGAGTATACCATCGATGTAGTCGTTTCAAAGAGTTCTCCCTAAAGACTATTGATACAGTTTCCCTTGTTTGAGTCACCCACAGTCCCATAGCCAGAAAATTTTCTGTGGGGAGGCAGGTGCCCCTGATGAGATGATGTCACTTCTGTCATCACCTGGAAGTGACCTGATGATTGGCCTGGCAGAATGACATAGGCAGTGTGGGGGCGGGAAGGGAAAAGAAGCCGAGCTGAGTGAAAGAGATGGACACACACAAAAAAAACCTTTTAGGAGTTGCCTGGAGTTCAGGGGGCAATATTTACTGGCTGGCTGGGGGTGTGTCATTCAGCAGAATGGCCACCTCCTCCTCTTCATACTCGGGCCCCTCGGGAAACTGCAGCAGGAGCGGCGAGCCCTTGAATATCTCTGCGGAAGATGCTCTGCCCTGGCTCAGCCCAGCCACACTCATCTGGTTGTCCCCCCTCAGGGTATGTGGCAAGTCAGCTTTGATGTGGGGGGAGTGCTGCATTCATTTGCCTCACCCGCCTGGCTCTCCTCCTCCTGGTGTGGAGGAGGCAGGCAGGCAGGGCAGCAGGTGAGATTGGCAGAGAATGGCCTGCCCCCTGGTGCCAGTGCCAGCCCACCAGAAGAAGAGGGGATGGCTGGCTGGCCCGGCCCGGTGTTTGCTGTCTTCCGCAGCTGCCATGGCCTCCTGCCATCTTTCCTCCCACTCCCTGAGACCGGATTACCTCCTAGGAGGCAGGCAGGCAGGGCAGCAGGTGAGATTGGCAGAGAATGGCCTGCCCCCTGGTGCCAGTGCTAGCCCACCAGAAGAAGAGGAGATGGCTGGCTGGCTGGCCCGGCCCTGTGTTTGCTGTCTTCTGCAGCTGCCGTGGCCTCCTGCCATCTTTCCTCCCACTCCCTGAGACCGGATTACCTCCTGCCAGATGAAGATTGGAGGCTCCCAACCCCAGTCCCCCCCTGGGCCTTTCTTGCCTTCCTGGGTATGAGTCCCCGGGTCTCTTTGCAGGATCCTGGACCCCAAGGCCCTCCTGCCCTTTGTGGATGGTCAGCCAAGCCAGGCTGTGAAAAAGAGACGTGGCAGCCTATGTAGGCTCAGGAGGGAGGGAAGAGAGGGGACTGAGAGGGATTGGCAGCGAGGAGGCAGGGCTAATTTGGTGGGGGGGCTTCGCCCTCAAATGCACTCTTGTGGCTGTTGGCTTGATCACCCATACTTTATTTCATAGATTTTGTTCTATTTTTATCCCAGTATCATTTTCCCATATTGTTTTCAGTCCATTTGACATATTTGGCTCTATTTCAATTAAGTAAGAATACATTTTAGAAGTTATTCCTTTTGCACTATTCATATGTTGCATTAGAATCTGTTCAGATTTCGTCATCTTTCAGGTCATAGTGTGCTGTACTGTAGGATTCACAGTTAAATAATGTAATTGATGGAGAAGAATTCCAGTTCATTGAAACCCTTGCTCCAAGTTGTAGACAGGGTTTCTCCTCTGATCTGCTGTGGTAGGCACTGGTGACAGCATTGTGTGTTCCACCCCATTGTCACTGGCCAGTTGCTTCCTCGCTAATGTCCAGACAGTGGCTAAGGGCAACCGTAGTCCCCTCTCATTCTTCCCATTCCAGGTGGAGGCCCCTGACTTCTCCCTCACTCCCCAGCTTGCTTGCCAGCCTGAAGAGAAGAGCAGCTCATTTAATCCATGCTCTGTATGGCAAATTAGATGGTTCTTCCTCCCCATTCTCTATCCTGGGCCATTGTCTATTGCCACACTGCTGCAGGTCATTAGTTCCTGAGTGGATGGAAGCCACAGCACCACCTGTTGCTCCCTTGCCCTCTCCCTCCAAGAAACAGTCCTCAGTCACTGCTCACCTGCTAATTTCCCAAGAACAGGTGGTGGCTGGCTGTTGGCAGTGGGGAGCCATTGCTGAGAGTGCTAACACTTTGCATTGTGCTCCCGGTGGCACCCATAAGGACACTAATAGGAAGGACTGGAGGCAAGTTGTGCGTGGTAACCCACTGCCCTGGGTGAAAAAGGCGAAGTTTTGATTAGGAGCGCCAGTAGTTTAGCAAGCTTCCACGCCCTCAGGAGCAGCTAGTACTAGAACTGATGGTCTTCGGTTCTGCCTGTTTTGGTGAACTGCTCAAGGTTGCAGAACAAAGGCCCGGCATTCATCCACCTACCCCAGAAGCCTACTGGTCCCTTCCCAGCATTGTTGTAACTAAATTTGGATCTGGCCTGAGACTTAGAAAGGTGTAATTCTATTTAGAATGACACTGTTAGTTCTGGCAATAGCCAAACTGGATCTTGCCAGTTTGACCCTCTCAGTGCCTTCCAAATACATGTCCAACCTTCTCGTCTCTTTCCATCTACATGCCTGCCATTCACCTAGGGTTGCCAGGTCCATCGGAAATGCTGGTGGGGAGATGTTCTGGGAGTGGGAAGTGATGTTGCGTGATATGTCATCTGGAAGTAATGTAGGCATGTTGCGAGTGATGCTCTGGTTTTTGGCCAAACTCTATGGTAAAATCAGCCTCAAACCATAGAGTTTTGCCCCAAAACCAAAGTGTCACTCTCCCCATGTCACCGATGTGCCTGTGTCACTTCTGGGTAACATAGGCATGTTGCGTTTATTTCCGGCAATGTCACTGTGTGTGGGGGAGCCCACAAAACCAGGGGATCCCCCGCCCCCAACTGGGGAATGGCAACCCTACATTCACTCCCCCCCTTAGGCCTGACACAAGCTAGTTTGTTCTTTCTCATCCCATTTCTGCTGGGACTTGTTTATCCAGTATTCTGTGCTCTTGACTGCCCATTACAGGCCTCAGACATGCAGACCTATGTAATGTTCTTATTTTCAAAATGTCTCCCATGCAGAGCTGAAGACTCATACGCCTGAGCAAAGAAAGGATAGAGAGTAAGTACAGATATTGTAAAAGAAACTGATTTTTAAAATTGAGTGTCTTATTGTCTCTCATTACATTGTACTCTTTCTCTTTTTATAAAGCCCTTTAGATAATCCTTCAGTTCAGTGGCTAAAGACTCATGGTTTGGTTGCTAGGCGACTCACCATAATGGATGCCTTAGCTCCAACAGCTGTTCCTCGCACAGCAAAATACATTCCAATTCTAGACAAACACGTTGTTTCAAAAGTATTCGATGACGTAAGTTTTTTTTTTTAATGCTGTTTCTGGGAAAATTTCAAATGAGCAACTGTTTTTTAATGCAAGTATCAAATTATTGACTTCTTGTTCCTGGCAGAGAATATATTATATACAATCAGGGTTGAGCCAAATATTCTTCCGTTTGGTAGAAGCAGTGCGTTTGGTGCGTGTGCGAGTGAGGTTTACCAGCTTCAGTTTGGGAAGTTCCTGGAGACTGGGGGTGGTGGCCTGGACAGGGCAGAGCTTTGGGGCAAGAAGGAGCTCTGTGGAGATGTGGTGCCTCAGAGTCTGCCCTCCAAAGCTGCCATTTCCTCCAGACTCTCTGGAGTCTGGAAATCAGTTGTAATTCTAAGAGAACTCAAGGCCACACCTGGAGGTTGGCAATCCTAGTGTTTTTCTAGAAGAACCTCCACCAGATCTCTTCAGTGGTGACAGTATTTACTCAGTACTGCTTCTGCCCTATTTGCTGTTGCTTTTGTACCATTTCCCCCCCTTCACTTGGGTGATCCCAGTTAGCTGAGGGTTAAGTAATCAATGGGATGAGAGTTTATGGAGGGTTAACAAAACCATATGGTTTTGCGGGCATTGTTGAAAATTTGTCAAAAGAATGAGATGCTTTTTGATGCTGTTGAACATATTTGTGAAATATAGTGAGTCGTTTTTGGCTCTGCCTGATGTGCATAGGCATATATGGTAGTCATGGTAAAATGACTGCTGTCTGAGAAAACTGAATAAAAGCTGCTCCTCATAGGAAGGAGTGTTCAGCTCTGTGTTTCTTGTCTTCCCCACCCTTATTTGCCAATAGGTGTCACTGTGCAGCCACTGACTATTTGAAAACTGCTTGTGGGTGGTGGTCACTAGTGTTACTGCTATGTCATTGGCATGTTACAGAATGCATAGAGTTGAGTCACTGGGAAAATATATTAAGAACATAAGAGATGCCAATGTTGGATCAGGCCAAAGGCCCATCCAGTCCAACACTCTGTATCACACATATTGGACTCTGCTGGATCATTGTGTTTGCATGTGCCTGACAATGTTCTAAGTAAGCTACAACATGGAATTCACTGCCACAGGAAGTGGTGGCGGCTACAAGCATGGATGGCTTCAAAAGGGAATTAGTTAAGCATATGGAGCAGAGGTCCATCAGTGGCTATTAGCCACAAGGTATAGATAGGGACTCTGGGGCAAGGGATGCTCTGTCTTCTTGGTGCTTGGGGGAGGTCAACAGTGGGAGGGCTTCTAATGTCCTGGCCCCACTGGGGGACCTCCTGATGGCACCTGGTATTTTTGGCCACTGTGTGACAGAGTGTTGGACTGGATGGGCCTTTGGCCTGATCCAACATTGGTGTCTCTTATGTTCTTACTAGCAGTAAAGCCCGTTGTGAAAGCAATACCCCATGAGGGACTGAGTGGTTTGGAGGGTGGAGTCTATGGCATTGTACCTGTCTGAGGTCCCACCCCTCCTCAAACCTCACCCTCTTCAGGCTCCATCCCTCAAATCTCCAGGAATTTCCCATCGGGAGTTGGCAACCCTATCAGGATTGGCCCCAATATGTTTTCTCCCAAAGGCCAAAGTAGGTGACTGGACCAAACTTAGTTGCCTACCAACAGGCACTGAGGGGAAAGTAGGGTTGCCTGGTCTAAGGAGGGAAATACCTGGAGTTTTGGGGGGTGGATTCTGTAGAGGGCAGCATTGGGGGGGGGGGAAGGACTCAGCAGGTATAATGTCATAGGGTCTACCCTCCAAAGCAGCCATTTTCTCCAGGGGAAACTGATCTCTGTCATCTGGAAATCAATTGTAGCAGTGGGAGATCTCCAGGTCCCACCTGGAGTTTGGCAACCCTAGGGGAAAGTGTGCTGCACAGCAGGGGGTTGAAGAGAATGGTTTGATGGGTGCTGGGCCAAGATTGGCAACAATAGTTCCCCAGGAGCAAATAGCTGGGTTGGAGGGTGGAGTCTATGGCACTGTAACCTGTCTGAGGTCCCCCTCTCCGGCCTCCACTCCTCAAATCTCCAGGATTTTCCATACCTAAAGCTGGCAACTTTATTTCCTCCCCTCTCAGTAGCCTCTTATTTTGCCTTAAATTGGTTTTGATGTCAGCAGAGTGAGAAAATGCCAGAGGCTCTGGGTGGGTGCCTGTCTTGTCTTCAAGTTTACTTCCCCCCCCCCAGCCTCTGCCTAGGGAAAGCCGCTGTCATCATTCTCCTCTCCCCCTATGAGGTATGTTAAGGTTGAAAGTGTGTGAATGGTCCATAATCCCCCAGGCAGCTTTTAAAACATGATCCTGGGACCTACACACCACCAGACATTCCAAATGCCTTGCAGGGGGGGGGGAGTATGAGGTGTGGAATGGAGTGAAGTCCAATCAGCTTCCATATGCAAAAGACCTTGAAGGTTCCATATGCAACTGACATTCCAACTGCCTTGCGGGGAGGGGGGTGAGTTTGAGGTGTGGAATGCAGTGAAGTCCAATCAGCTTCCATATGCAAAAGACCTTGAAACGCTGGGCGGGACTGCACAAAGCAGCCAGTCAACCCAGCCAGCGTCTTCTGACTGACAGTTCAAGCGTCCATACACTAAAGGAGTGCATTTTAGAACTTTGGCACCCACTATTCAATTATATATAAGGAGAGATATTCTTATGTAACAGCCAAAGACACTTAAAATGCTGTATGGCCCAGGCTATACAAAAATGGATGGTCAAAGCTCAATACATCCCTCGAAGCAGCCTTTTATAATTAAAGAGCAAAGATTCATCCATGAGCCAGTATGAAAAAGCCCATTTGCGTTTAACTGAATCTGTACTACTCATCTGATCATTGACACAAAGTTCAAAAGCCTGAACACAGGTTGTTGTGAGTCCTTTGTTAGGAAGTTCCACACATGATGTCTCACAATAAATCTAAAACACTCAGGAGCACCCTACCTGACTATCTTAGTGCACTGGCCTAAATGTGTGCGTGGCTTGCACCTTGATTACTTGCCACCGTTGACCTCTTTTTGTAAGGCATCTCTAAGAAGCCCTTTAGCCCCATAAAATTTTTGCCCGCCATTCCCTTCTACCGTTGTTATTATTATGGTTATTTTAGCATCCCAACTGTTCCTCCAATGCACCTTAACTTACAGATTTCATTTTTATAGAGCCGTATTTCATTCTATACAGTGCTATGTTTGGCTCTAGAGCCACAGGTTGCATACCCCTGGGCTAGTGTTTATTTTCTCGGGGGTTTTAACCCCCTATGGCGTTAAGCAACATATTCCATGCTGTAGACCGGAAATAATTTCCGACAATTATGTATGGCTCAATTTCAAATGCAACTTCTGTTTAGTCTTCCCAATTAACCCTTGCATCACCTGCTGAGAATAACCTCTACTTGACCTCCAGAGTTCATCAGCAGCCCAGCCTATTTGCAGGGGGCAAAAGAAGAGGGCAGGAGTGCCAGGCTCCTCATTGGCCTGCTGAGACCAACTGGAATGGCTCCAGCAGTTCCCTTCCAATCGGTGAAGAATCTTCCATTGGACAATGATTCCTCTTACGGCATTCCAAGAATGGAAGGTGTTGTTCTCCAGTGGAAGATTGTTGACTGGATGTTTTATGCTGTCTGATCGATTTTTTTTTTGGGGTAATCTGCCTTGACTCTCAGTGAGAAAGGCAGGCTATCACTGAAGAAAATCAATACCTTAGTGGGTCCTGTAACCCAAAGAATCAAACATTCTGGGTTCAGAAGGGTATGAAGTGTGAGGGGAAAGTGGGGAAGATCTGGGTTTATTGCACAATTGGCTCTCTGGATCCATCCCAGTGTGATTTAGATTTCTAATAAATTGGGGTGGGGTGAGATGAGAGTTTATTTACTTATTATTTAGCTTACTTATACCGTACTCTAGTGAGTCTTCAGACTTTCCGTGTCTGGGCTTACCACATGGACTCAAATACTGCAATGCTTTGAAGCCTTTGTTCCTTTACGCTGCAGGTCTTCCCCTTTGCCCATGTGAGCAATGATATGAAGTGTGTGACATTGATTAATCCTCAGGCAGTAGATCTTGAAGCCTACAAGAAGAAGCTGCTGGAAGCAATCAAAACATATGAAAGGCAAGTCTGTTCAGCATAAATTTTCCATGTAGCCAGTTAGATTCATCTTGGATATCTAACCGCTTGAACTGTTTGCCCAGTAACCGCCATGTGACCTGACACTGCCCCCGATCCCACATGCCTGGTAGCAGTAGGAGGGGGAATGTTGGCTGCATATTGTACATGCCACATTCATCTTGCACGAGTGTTGTAGGTTAATCATATATACGGCAGTGGCATTTTCAAAGTGCTCCATGTTGGTGGACATTGCGTCTGTGTCTTCTAGAGCAGTTGCTGTCTTGACTATACCATTTCCCTCTCTTCCACAACCTGTACTGGGGGCAGCTTTTAACTGACAGATTTAAGCCTGCGTGCCTGCACAATCATGTCTTCCCAGTACAATTGCTCCAGGGCATATACATGCAGATGTTTGTATGCCACCTGTAAGATGATGCTATTCCTTTCTTTGCCATTCCGTACTTGTGAGAGATGAAAACATGTCATACAGCTGCCTTCATTAAATTCCTTCCATTAAATTATGCTGGAATTCTGCTATGGGCTACTAAGCCTTCACCTGCTTTGTCATTTGGCTGAAGTTCCTCAAGAATTTGTTGTAACATGCGGTAGATTTCGAGGCAGTTGCTGCTGATAAAAGCTTTATTCAGAGAAATACGTACCTTGCAAAACATTGACATTTTTCTTGCCAGAATCAAAGCAATGCTTATGTTATCTTCAGATGTATTTTGAAACACCCCCCCCCCAAAAAAAAGAGACAACAAAAAACATATGTGTTGGAAAGACATGTCAATTAGCTACTTAATTATATAGGTCAACAGTCTTTCTTAAGGACCTGAGGTTCTTTTAAACTTATCAGGAGTTTCCTAATTAGGAAATCAGCTCCCTTGGATGTTGACTTGAAATTAGCTCACCTCCAAACAAGTTATTTTGGGCTCAATTCAATTCCAATCGGAGCTGGATTATTTCATCTTGACCCCATTCTGAGCTAAGGCCGTGTGGGACTGCTTGCCTCAGCATCTCTGCAGCCCTCTCCTATTTGCCCAGACTTACCCAAATGCCTGGTGGTGGGACCTCACAACAGGAAGGAGGTCACTGAGAGGTCTCCATTAGACTTTCAACAACGGGACAGTGTCCTGATCGCAGGATCCATGGACAGTGTCTCATTCTTAGGATCATGATGTCGAAGTAGGTTCATCGAGACTTATGTGTACTACATATCCTTTGAATCATAGCAGGTGGGGGAGCCCTCCAGTCCCAAAATAGCATCACATTTTGAAAGGGTTGCTATTTTTCCGTCTGACCATTCCAAGCTAAAATATATATGCAGGCCAAGTTTCAATGTGGAGTAGTTTGTAAATGACCAAGTACTAACTAAGTTTTTCACTCCCTAGCATCTGTTCTGTCTCATCTTTTGTGCCATGAATGCTGCATTAACATATCTGGGAACTGAATTTGCAAGGGTTGTGGCACAGCTTTCTGAACTGCGATTGGCTACTTGCTAAATTGCACAATTTGTCTTTGCGTGCAAACAGCTTTAACAACAGCAGCCCGAAAAAAGAAGAAGAGAGAGATGGCATGATATTAACCTCTTCTGAAGATTAATAATCTAAATGTTATTAGCATGAACTCCAGATGAAGCCAGAGGGGATGATAGCAATCGTGTCCTGCCTTCTAGAAGGAGAGGGTTTCTGCTCTGCAGTGTATAAGAGACAACCCCCGCCTGGCCCCAAGTCCTGAAGCTGTGAAGAATTGTGAAAATAACTGCAGGCATAGAAAAATGAGCAAGGGGCAAACAGACAGTTAGAAATAAATATCCCAGCAAACAGATTTCATGCTTGTGAATAAACTAAGAGGTTCTTCACATAAGACAAATGCATTATCCTGAGGGAGGGGCTTTGCTTTTCCCTGAAAGGCACAAATGCCTCTGGCTTGCTGTGGTGGATGTGGCCCGACACTGCCGGAGAGACACAGCTGCAGTTCAGTGAAGGGTGGATTAGTCCAAGGTTGTTGCCAGATTCCATCAGGCTATTGCACCTGAGGACACTGGCGCTTGACTGCAGTTACTTTACATGAACGGACCACCTTCTATCGTATACTGGATGTCTCAGGGAATGATGGGGGACCCATTGTGTTTGCTGCTGCAACTGCTGAAATGGGTTGGATTTTATTAATGAAATAATTGATTTGCTGTCGGAATTATGATGCCTTATTAGCATCCCAATACTTTAGTAGCATGCGTTTTGCGTATTTTAAATAGTAGCTTTAAAAAAATGATGTACAAATACTGTTATGGCCAATGGATTTGGGGGAAAAACACACCAAGTATTTGTTTGGTAACCGTTGGGTTCAGATTGTTGTCAGATTTGTCGGCAGTTTGTATGGTCACTCTACAGGCTCAATCAAGTGAAAGTTTATCACAGCTACCACCCATTTTAATTAGCCAAATACTCCAGTTCTGCAGATATCAAAGACACTTAATTATAGATAACACTTTCTGGATTATGGTTATGGTTTTCTAGTGTGAAGAATGTGTTTCTGTGGAGGTCTAGGCAATTGTCCATTTAATGGTAAACAAATTAGGATTGGAAGGCTACATTCAGATTATGCGTAGTGTTTTAAAGACAAAAGTGCCCTAATATTCTCCTTTGCTTTCATGACACACTCCTCGTTTGTAGGCTGTGGACCCAACTAGGCAGCATGCTGGAAGGTCCATGACTGGATCTTCCCAGCATTTTTACAGTTCCGGTTTGGAATTGGACCTGATTTGGATTTGGTCCACATAAAGAAAACAAGTTTAAGTCTTCCCCTGCCTGTAATTTTGCTGATCTAAATCTGTTCCTCCTGCTGCTGCTAGCTCTCACAGGGTGTCCTTTGAAGGCTAATATCAATGCTGAGGGCAGTTTCAGTGCGATTGCATAGGGTGAGGTGTGAAACCTCTCCCTGAGCAGCCAAATGGGCCCCCTGTATGGCTTCTGTTAGCATTTCAATGGCACTGAGAGGATCTGCTTGGGGATCTCAGCATTTCATCTGTTTTGACCCCCATGTAACAGGAATATGAATGCCAGACCAGAATGGTGGGAAGTCTAAGAGCCAGCTCAGGTTGTATCTAAGCAACAGGCCCTTCAGACTAAGGAACAAGTCCAGTTTGGCAGGTTTCTAGGATCAGGCAGAATCCTACTTGCCTATGGTGTCCACCAGATTCCTTCTCTGTAGGTAGCTGTAGTACCCCTTCTGGCCATATGTAGTGGTGATGCTGCGGTGCAGGTAGAGAAGTTCTGCAACTCCTTCCTTCAGCATGTAGTCATAAGGTACCTGCATCCCAGGTGCCTTACAGTGAGTCCCATACCTGGAGCCCCTTTGATCTGTTGTAGTGCAGAGTCCTGCAGCCTTTAAAGTCTTGACAGCACAATCCTAAATATGTTTCCTTGAACTGAACTCCTTGGTGAATGTGTGCAAGATTGGAGGCCAAGACATTTATTGTGCCATTTACTTTTGTACGTAGAACCCTGTTTCAAAAAAAAATACATGAGCTGAACAAAGAAAATATGAGCAGTGTTATTCAATATCTTAGTAGATAAAGTAGTTTACATTCCTTTTCAAGGGTTTAGAGCTTCCAAAAACTTATTATAGGTACACTGTCTTGGATCCTGTACAAATGAAAAGACTTTCCTACTTATGTGTGAAGCGTGTATGTTACAGATATACCTGCTGGCTGTTGTCCCTCCTCGGTACAGTAGACTTTGAAACAAACTATTGTGAAACGTGACTGGAACAACATTAGTCTGGTAACATTTAATTAGTTTTGTGCTTATTTATAACACTGCATTCTGGATGGGAAATTCTTGTAAGCAGCAGTAGGTATTTTCTTCTATTTGTCATTGATCCTGAATGGATCATGTTGCTACTGTGAATGAAATGATCATGTTGCTACTGTGAGAGATATTTTCCCATCACTTTTATTTTCAAATGATAATTTAAATTTCATAGCTGTTGACTAGGAACAGAGTGTAAAACTTCACCCTCTCGGAATACAACTTATCATAGACACCTGTATGACACTGTGCTCCATTTTATTTAATGATATTTAGCTACCAAGTTCCACATGAGCTGATATGAGAAACTGTTGTATTTTTGTTAACAGGCGCCTGGATCTAATTGTTTGGAGAGCATTATCTCAGGAGGAAAGAGACAAGTAAGGATGTTAGTTTCTAGCTTTACAGCTCAGGAATTAATTTTTAGAATATTGATAGAATGGGAGCCAGAGGTGCTCAGCATCTTCTAAAACGTATCCTATCATTATTCAGCACTGTTTGCTGTTTACTGTATGCATCTGGATCTTCAGTAACTCTCAGATTCATCTTCAGTAGACCCCCACGAGCCATTTGTTGTGTGTGCTGTTGTGGACTGAAATGAAGCTTATTCTGTAGTTATTCATCCTTGATAACTGTTTCACACATGCAAATAATAAGTTAGGGTTGCATTCTCTGAACGATGGAAATAGCAAACATGCTGCTTCCTGTGTTCATTAAAATGTATTCAGCCTACATTCAAACTTTAAGGTGGCTAACTGGAATATATCTAAAATACTTGCCTAGATTATTTAATAATATTTATATTCTGTGCTGAGAAACTTACATGGGATCTCCTCCAGTAGTCTGTGCAGATTCAGAGCTAAATGGGGGGATCTGATGCCCATCCTGCAACCAATGCAAAGGCGGGGCAGGAGGGTGGGGCCACAGTTAGCCAACCACAGGGATTGGCTGGTTCCACTAGAAGAGTGAGGGACTCACAGAGACTGCTCCAGCCCAGGGCCAATGAGGGCATGGCTGGGACTATTCTTCTCTCCACAGAGCTGGCTCAGAGAGAAGGGCAGGAGAGTGAAAGGACATCCTGATGGGAGGAATTGAACAGGGTAAAGGTTCAACCTCCTCTCTTCCCAGTATGAGGCTTCTGTAGGGGTGGAGAGTGAACTCAGTACATTCTCTAGTAGCCTCATCTCCAAGGGGACAGATGTGCTATACCTTCACTCAACAACCTGCCAGCCATGGATCATGGGATGGCCTTCCCTTCATGCTGCTGTTGCCAACCCCCCTCCACCAAGACACTTCTCAGGTACACACCCAGTTAGCTCAACCAATTCTATAGCATGAACTACATCCACAAAATTCACAGGATCCAAAGAGTCATGTTGGTCCCACAACTGAAGGTAGGATAGTAAATACGATAGGCTTCTGCTATAGGCCTCAAGATGTCATGTTTCAGGTTGGAAGAAATATTTCTTTCATTTTATGTTGGTTTGGGATCCTCCTCTCCCTTCTTCTGAAGTATACTACTTATCTCACAATCTGGAGAATTGCATCAGGATTGTTTCCCAAGACTATTCCTTAAATCCAGAGGTATTTCTTGCATAGTGCACCTTGTTCATTCCAGTTCCCTTTCACTGTATAATCATGACAAGAAGAGCTTCTTTAGATCAAACCACAAACTCCAGTGCTCTTTTTGGCCAGCCAGATTTCTCTGGCAGCTCATCTCCAAGGCTGTCAGATTCATGCCTTCCCCATAATAATTTGTCACAAAAATTGTTATTCAGAGGTAGTGAGCCAATGTAGTGTACGTAGATATTAATGTTGATCTTTCTGGCCCATCTTTTTGTAAAAAGCACTACAGTATTCTCTAAAGCCATCATGAACAAAGATAAAACAGCAATAACAATATCACTATTATCAACCAATCCTAGTCTTGAAAGCCAGGCTGAGAAAAGACCAGAAATTTACAAGAATGCCTATTTGAATAACATGATATTGCGAATAGATTCAGGTGGTGTGTTTGTCTGAAGCAGCAGAACAAAGTCTGAGTCCAGTGGCACCTTTAAGACCGACAAAGTTTTATTCAGGGGTATAAGCTTGAAGTGTGCCTGCACACCAAAGCTTTTATCTTGAATAAAACTTTGTTGGTCTTAAAGGTGCCATTAGAAACTTTGTGATGATATTGCAAAGTCTCTTAAAGACCTGCAATGTGGGGGCCATTTGCTGAAAAGCTGTTCTGTCGTAAAGAAACCCTGGCTCTGTGGTAGAGTACCCACTTTGTATCCAGAAGATCCCAGGTTAAAAAGATCAGACATTAGATGATGGGAAGACCTCGACCAGAGGCCCTGGAAAGCTGCTGCCAGTCGAAGCAGGCAACACTGACCCTGACAGACCAGTGGTCTGGCTTCATGTGGCCATTAATGAAAGAACAAGCAGATGCTGTTTTTACATGTCTGCATGGTGGAACATTTAATAAACTTCATTCAGTTGAGTAGGGCTTCCATCGCAGATGGTATTGGGAGAGTGTGAAGTGTCACCGTAGGGAATCAGCCTGGAGCGTCAGATCTCCTAACTACTCTGTACTCTAGGAGTGCCAAGTCTGGAGCACGCGGCATTTTGATTGAACTCACTAGCCACACAGGAACCCAGTTCAGATGAGGACCATAGGAAGATGCATGCAGGGAAGTACTGTCTTCCCCACTGAGAAAATGCACACGCACCTGATACCAGTGTTCCCTCTAAGCTGAGTTAGTGTGGGCTAGCTCCCAGTTTTTCAGCCTCCGGCTCACACATTTTTGTCTTAGCTCAGGAAGGATGGCTCCGGAGCAAACTGATTTATGCAGTAGCCAAATCGCTCTCTTACAACTTTAATGCCAGTAGCTCGCAAAGTAGAATTTTTGCTCACAAGACTCCACAGCTTAGAGGGAGCATTGCCTGATACCAGTACATGGTTTAGTTCACAATGGGGCAAGTAGTGCTCCTCTGAGCCATTTTTGATTGGGAAAATGGAGCAGGGGGAGGCTTAAAATTCCCTTCCTCTTGTGCTGTGGGTGCTTTATTCCTTTAACTCCTAGCATATCATACAGTTAGGGATACAGCCATGAATCTCACCAGAAAACCTTGGTCTACTTAATTTCTCTCAGCCTACCTTAACTAGTGAAAATAAGATGAGGAAAGAGAATCACGTATGTATGTTGCCCTGAATCCTTAGGGAAAAAGTGGGATAGCACTGGAATAGACAGAGCCAGAATACCTTTAGTTCAAATACAGAAGTTCTGATTGCCTTTCATGGCTCACGGCAATTGATATGTCAATCATCAAGGGATTTTTCTTATCATAGTCTCAGAATTATATGCAGTCAGTCTTCACTGCAGATCCTCTATGGTTTTAACAGCTGCACAACAGCCAAAATTCATCTGGTGCAACTTACCATATCACTGCATTTCCATACAAGGAAATCTGGCATGTCAAATCAATGTTAGAAATTCAGGGCCTTATATATAAAAAAGTGGCAACCTATTCCTATCTCCCAGCATGCATGGACCTAGTTGCTATTTTCCCACTAATTGATCACAGTATCCACAGTGATGCAGAATTAGAACTTGCATGTTGTTTCTTTTCAAGGTATGGACAGGACCATCCAGTCTCATACCTAGAAAACAAGGAGTCTTTGCTACAAGCTTTAGAAAAACTGAACTGGCCCATCACCTATGAAGATGTGAAGTTGCTGGAGGATGAGATTCTGACTGGGCTGACGTATATAGAGCAGGCCTCTGAACTCCAGGCAGCTTCCAAAGAGGAAGCTCAGAAAATCTGCCCATTTCATCTCTGCCCCAGTAAAGAGGTAGGTGTCATTAGCAGTGGGATAAAACTTTTTCTTTGGATAAAGGTCCAGTATGCAGAATTTATTTGTTAGGCATGCTAACGTAACTCAGATGCATAGATATATGTGTCTTAAAATGTTGGGCAGAAGCTGGCAGGGAGAGGGGCTCATTTCCATGACCAGCAATTGGGAGTACATTATTGCAACATTTCTGTTGAAAAAGAACAACAGAGAAAGATGGGATAGTGAAGCTCCCAGTGTATAGACAGCTGGTTGCGAAGACTCACTTCCTTCTGTAACTTTTCTCAGCATTTAAATATGGCTGAATTTGTTTAAACTGTGGTTTGTACAACAACAAAAATAATAATTAATATTATTGTATGGCAGTATGTGTAGTATAGCCAGAAGATCCTAAGATTGTCTGGCAGCCAGAAGTTCTAGCTCTTTTAGCATTATGCACCACTAGGTGGTGAGCTTGACCTGTTTTTAAGGCAAGAGTCATTTCCCTGCTTAGCTTCCACATCCGATGAGATCGGGCTAGCCTGGGCTATCTAGGTCAGGGCTGGTTTGTACAACAAACTCTGGCTAACCTGCCAGTCATACATCACTCATGCATAAGTCCCAGTTCATCTGCTTCATGCTCCTTTCCCATCAATGAGGACATATTTTCTATATTGTGGTCTTTGTGACCAGGAGGCCATGAAGTGCTACTCAACAAACTGCAGTTTGTGAATTAATGTTGCAAGAAACAACAATGAATATAGTCTGGCCAAGAAACCAAGTACAAAGTTGGGTTTGAAATCGCTTTTGTACTATCTGTATTTATAACAGTGCAACTAACTGGGGTTTGATCATGGTGGATAATAGCATCCGGATAGAGCTTAGCTGTGGAAATATCCAGTCAGAACAGACAGCGCCTTAACCTGTCAGTTAAATGAAAGATGCTAAAGACCAAACTAAGGGTTAATTTACTGATTTTTTTCCCCTTTCTACATGGGTGCATAATTGCTTTGTATTGCATGTAGGACAGTGTACAGCCCACAGTGTACAGCCCATTGGGTGCCACAAGAATGGTGGCTCCTTCATGTATATAAGAACGTGAGACACTGTATATATGTATATAAGAGGGTGAGACACTGTTCTTTGGCACTTCTAAACATTGCAGATATATGTGTTTCCTTAAGCCTGTGGAAACTTGGAGGTTAAGGAAAATGTAACACATCTCGTAGTCTTTAGTTCATCTTTAAATAGTGTTCATTTGATGGTCGTGGGCAATTTTGATATGGAGAAGTCATGCTCTCTGTGTTTGATTGACTGATGTAATCTGTAATTGGAATGGGCAGTCGATAAATGAAAACTTTTGCCTAGCAGGATTATGCTAAACCAAGCATTCAATCAAGGAAACAAAGAAATTATTGAAAGGACAGTTATTAAAATGCTAATAAAGCTTTTTAAAATAGAGGTGCTTGACGAGCGTAAAAGAGGGAGCTTATCTTTTGAGAAATGGACAGGCAGATTTTTGACTGTCCATTTCCCCCAAATCATAAAAAAGAAAAGCTCTTCTTTTTTGACCAGTTAAACAAAGTGTGTATAGATTAGGGCTGCACGTCCTCTGTGTCTCTGAACTTAAGAAGTTTTAAGTTCCAAGAGTGAGGACTTCAGTCCTGCCATAGACACATCTATTCCAAAGACCCACTTAGTTCAGCGATGAGACATTCTCAAATAAGTGTCCATACAATTGCAGTGTTAATTTTCTGAAACACTAATGATCCAGCACTCATACAACATAACATATGAAGAGGTCATGGGAATTTTACTGTTAGGAT